AAATACCTCGGGCGTCTGTGCGCCATAAACCCAGCCGTCGGGGATGCAGAACCAGTAAGCCCCAGTGATTAGCGGAAATACAACCACACTCCCTCCGAGGCGCATCGCAAGGCAACTCAGTGTAAGGAAGACTGGATGAGCCGTGTCAATATATTCTCCCAAGTTTAACGACGCCATCAGTCTAGTGCCTTACCAACACTTCCTGGACCGTCTTTGGCCATCTCGCTGCCGCGAACGATTGCACGCGAACACCTTGACCCCGCACTTCCGCCTTCTGCCTCAGACAATGGCCTCGGAGCATCCAACAACGGCGTTAGCACCCAGCTACCGCATTGCTGGGATGGAGCTGTTCCACATTGAAGCGGACATGGCCTCTCTCCTCAACGATATGAGCGACGAAGACCTTCATTCTTTCGCCGAGTCGCAAGAAGACCCCGCGAGTGATGAACAGATCGAATTGTACATTTACGCCTGCTTCCTTGTTTCAAAAGGTTAGCCTCAGCAGAACACCTCGAGCAGGCTGTTCAGAGAACAGAGGGATGGGTCGCAGTTACGCCTACCGACCACCCGGATCGCACCCGGCGACTTGACATTTTCGGCATGCTGTCGGCCTGGGGACGCCAGGCCACGTCCATATTGGAAGACATTGTACCTACGCTTCCGGGAGTTAAGTGAGTCGCAATTTCCCAGGCCCTTCTAGGTGGGATGGCTGCGGTGTTCTAGCCCAAGTATCGCTTGTAAAATGCAGACGGTAATGGGGTCAGCTAGAGATGGCAAGCCGCTAACGCGTTAATATTTATTAGCCAAGAGTCAATGTTTGACGAAACCGGCATCAACCAAGCAGCAAGACTGGCGGATAATTACCAGCAAACGGGCCGTTTCGAAGACTTAGAAGAAGCTGTCAGAATTATGGAACAGGCAGTGGACATCGGAGGAGAATCTATCCAGCCTAATATGTTGAGCAACCTTGGGGTGATGCTCGGTATGCGATTCGAGCGGACCGGTTCGATAAGCGATCTCGACCGTGCCGTCGACGTTGCGACCAAGGCAGTGGACGCCACACCTCAAAACCACCCCGATCGCGCTGGCAGGTTAAACAACCTTGGAAACAAGCTCGGCAGGCGGTTTGAACGCACCGGTTCGATAAGCGATCTCGACCGTGCCGTCGACGTTGCGACCAAGGCAGTGGACGTCACGCCTCAAG